ACCACACAAGTAATGCAGTGTTGGATTCTAATCCCCAGTAATATCAGACTTCCATAAGCAAATCTTTCTTCCAGAAGAAAGCCAACTATTTCCATCCTCTCCCATCCAGGAGTTAAACAACAATCCCTTGCCCAACGCCCTCAAGTGGACAAGAGAGCAAGTGCGAGGAGAAACCTGGTAAATGCTAGCTCCTTTCCTGTTCAGTCAACAACACTGATGGCCATGTGGCTACCACGGAAAGGTGATTGTAATAATCTGTCCTGTACCTTTAAGAGACAAGCCCCACACACTCCCTCCCAGGTCTAACTAAGTGTCCTTTTAAGAGGAAATTCAGGGGCTGGAGAGATGGCTCAGAGGTTAAGAGCATTGCCTGCTCTTCCAAAGGTCCTGAGTTCAATTCCCAGCAACCACATGGTGGCTCACAACCATCTGTAATGGGGTCTGGTGCCCTCTTCTGGCCTGCAGGCATACACACAGACAGAATATTGTATACATAATAAATAAATAAATATTTTTTAAAAAAAGAGGAAATTCAGGGGTGGGGTGCAAACATACAAACAAAAGACCATGTGAAGACATAGCAAGAAGGTTGCTAACTGGAAACCAAAGAGAGGTCTCAGCAGAAACAGCCAACTGCTTGGTCTTGAACCTCACTTCTAGAGCACTAAGACAATAAATACAGTTTCATTATTTAGGTGACTTTGTAACAAACACTGTCTGAATACCTTAAACATGCTGGAATGCTCTGTGTGTTTATTATAGATACAAATATAAGACAGAACTGTCCTTACTCTATTCTAGCCTAGCACACAGGAGGCTTACAAGTAGGTAATTCAAAGTTAGTAAGCAGGTGTTAAGGCAGACACAGGCATTGAAACAGCCGTAGAAGCTTGTCTAATCCTTAAAGTGAGGGTAGACCAGAAAAAGCATTCCATAGGGGAAAAAAAAAGGGAGCCATGTAATCCCAGCTTGTAACCCCATAATTTAGGAGGCTGTAGTCAGAGGACTGCCACAAATTCAAGGTCAGCCTGGGCTACAGAATGAAATCAAAGTGTCTCAAAAATGAGTGAAATGGACACAGTGAAACCAAAAACAGCTGTTTAGTGTGTGAAAGAGAAAAGAATTATTCCAAACTGCCCAGGCTGTCTCTCTGGAAAGCAGAGAGAGGCAACAGGGGAAATTTTTCCAGGTTTATAAGGGATTAGGGTACCTGGGATGAAAGGCGCCTCTGCCTGGGATAGGTTAGGAGTATGAACAGAGGAACTAGCTAATAGGCACCACAGTCACATGTTAATGGAAGAGCCACAGGCCTCTTTTGCCAAAGATAAGGAAAATTCCTTTTAGCAAGTAGGAACTATTGCCAAGCCCTTGAGGACATGCTGGATTTTATCTAAATGCTGGGGGGGGGGGGGAATCAAAATGAAAGGAAAGGGAAAACTCAACTGCCTATTTTCTGTAGATAAAAGTTTCCTGAAAGAACCATATGTTTAATGGCGAAGTATATGCAAACCCACAAGTTACCTCAAAGAATGAAAAAGAAAACACCTGACAAGTGACATTCTTCAAAGGTGGGATTCAACTTCAAACAGCTACTTATCTAGAATGATGGTTACTGCAGAGAAAGGGGAATTGGGATGGTTTCATAAAGTAACTTTCTTTTCTTTTTCAAGTATTTATTTTTATTTCACGGGTATTGGTGTTTTGTCTGCATATAGGATGTGTGTGAGGGTCAGATCCCCTGGAAATGGAGTTGTGAGCTGTCATGTGGTGCTGGGAATTGAACCAGGTTCTCAGAAGAGCACGGCTCTTAACCAGTAAGCCATCTCTACACCCCTCATAAGGAACTTTTCACCATTTGAAAGACTAGATAAAGACCTACATAATCGCAAAAGAGCTAAAACTGCACGTAAGTTTAACAAGAGGAGGGCATCCACTAGATGTGAAGCTCTCCACTCCTCTTCTACTCTACCACCAAGCTCCACCCTTCAGTAGGAGGCAGGCTCACAAATTAAAGATAGATACAGAACCCAGCCATCTTTTGACCCCAGGCAAGGAAATCCGAAAAAAGAAATAAAAATAACACATCTCTGCAGAGCAGTGGTGGCACAGGCCTTTAATCCCAGTACTCGGTAGGCAGAGACAAGAGGATCTTTGTGAGATTGAGAAGCCCTGTCTCAAAAAACAAAACAAAAAACAAACAAAAACCAGAGCTTACCGAATAAAATCACCACCATCTTGTCAATGTATAAAAGTAGGATGAACTAACAAGAACTGTTAACATTTCCCTCAGAACACACAAAGATTATTCTTGTTACCTCACAGAGAAACTCTCCCCAAGTCATAGTGAGAGGCAGATGCTAGCACAAGGTTCAGGCACACTTCTAGTATTTCTTCACTTTGGCAGCTTTGGTAGAAGAGGGCCTTAAAAGTGATGGGCTGGCCTCTACCATGATATGTCCCGCTCTTTTTTATTTTTTTAAATTTCACACCGTATCTCCTAAATTGCAGGGCCTATCCTCAAACTTGTGATCCTCATGCCTCAACCTCTGAAGCAGCAGAAATTACTTATATTATACAGGAAGTAAGAGTCCATTTTTCGTTGAAGAAAGACAGAATGTGATAAAGTTTAAAAAGGTATAGGATAAGCCCAAAGTGAATGAAAATGGAAAAGAAACAAAGACAAAATTAAAATCAACCAGGAAGAAGGGAGAGGCAGGGAGGCAGAGAAAAATGTAAAGCTCAATAAAAATCAAAAAAAGTTAAAATCAACCAACAATGGAGTTAAAGTACATTGTAATCAATGGAAAAGAGGCAAGAGAAGGGAAGAAAACTAAAACACCAAAGAGCAGAAACAAACAGCAAACAACTGACCGACACTCTCAATGGCTTACAGCAGCACTAGAGGATGATGGGTAACTTGACCTGTGGTTCAGTGGTTGTCTAGCATGTCCAAGCCCTGGTTCCAGCCCCAGAAAAAAAAAAAAAAAAAAGAGCAGCAAACCTAGAAACACTTATAAATACCATCATATGATTTTTATCAAGAATGACAACAGGGAATGAATAATCTTTCCAATAAACAGTGTAAAACAACCAGAGAACAATATGGGAGAAAAGAGTCTTAATATCTGTATTCAAACACAAAATTTATCCTAACAGCTATGCCATAAAAACTTCCACAAGAAAAAAGGCAGGCAATTAAGGCAAAAAAAATAAAATAAAATAAAATAAAGGTGCTGTTTGTTTGTTAACTGATGAACTAGACAACACTTAAATCAAAACCTTTTGTTCTTCAGAGATACCAGTGAAGAACTGAGAAAGAAGAGAGAACATTATAAATGTATAGCGCGCACACACACAGAATGCATGAAAAACTTTAACAACTCAATTGGGTGGTGGTGGCACATGCCACCAGCACTCAGGAGGTAGAGGCAGGGGGATCTGTGAGTTCAAGGCCAGCCTGGTCTACAGAGTTAGGACAAACGTTTCTGCCAAAAAAAAAAAAAAAAAAGCAATAAAAATACTGGAAAGGGGGCTGGAGAGATGGCTCAGCGGTTAAGAGCATTACCTGCTCTTCCAAAGGTCCTGAGTTCAATTCCCAGCAACCACATGGTGTTTCACAACCATCTGTAATGAGGTCTGGTGCCCTCTTCTGGCCTTCAGGCATACGCACAGAAAGAATATTGTATACATAATTTAAAAAAAAATACCTAGAAAGTGCTCAGTATCTCTACCAGAAAAACATAAATGAAAACTGCAGTAAGCTCCCACTATATAACCAATAAAAGGCTAAAGTAAAAAGAGTCAACTACCAAGAAGCAGCATAAACACTACACACTCTGAGGTTCCTAATAGTTATACAGACATCTAACCTATCATCCAACAACTCCATGAAACACGCGTACAAAAGTTTGCATAAACTGGGTGGTGGCGGTGCACACCTTTAATCCCAGCACTAGGGAGGCAGAAACAGGTAGATCTTGAGTTCGAGGCCAGCCTGGTCTACCAAATGAGTTCGAGGGCAGGCTCCAAAGCTAAAGAGAAACCCTGTCTTAAAGGGGGAATAAAAAGCTTGCATATGGATGTTCACAGTTTTATTCATGGTCAATTTTAGACAGAACATAAATAAAGTGAGATGCTGATGTGTAGCAACATAGTAGAACCTCAGAACCTCTGCTGAGGGAAGCAGACGTGTGACTCTCTCTAGAGGAACTTCTAGAATGGATGAGATCAGCCTAAGCACTTGAAACTACTATTCACTTAGAGTAATTCAGATTGGGGCAAATCCCTTGTGAAATCTCTCCTTTATTCACACTGCATATTCCAGGCAGACTGAGCTAAACACCAAGGAGATTTGTGAAAAAAACCACGCCTTTGTTTCCCTTCTGGAATAACAGGCACTCTGTGGCCTACTATCACTTACTGCTCAGTGTAGCGAAGAGACAAAGCTTTAAAAATAAAACCAAAAATGAGGTGCTTCACTGAAAGTAAAGTTTAAAGGCAAATAAATATAAACAAGTATTCAACTGTGGTTAATGAAATGGACTTGTGTTCTTTTTATTTGTGTGGGGAGTTGTTTGTTTTCAAAGTTCTGCTCTGCAGCCCAAAACTAGCTACAAACTTGCATTTCTCAAGGCTGGTATCACAGTCATGTACACCACCCCCAGTTAGAAACTGTAGTATGGAGAATACATAGCACAGATGCCTATAATTTGTTTTCTTTCTGTTTACTGTGGTGCTGGGGATTAAACTCAGGGCCTTGTATGTGCTAAGCAGAAACTCTAGACTGATCCAAGTCCTGCCAACTTAATTTAAAAGAAATATTAGCAGGGTGTAGAGATATATGCCTTTAATCCCAACACTCATGGAGGTGGAGGCAGGAACTACACAGGAAGATTCTATCTATAAATAAATAAATTACTAAAAGGGGCTGGAGAGATGACTCAGTGGTTAAGAGCACTGTTGCTTTTACAGGAAGATGGGGTTCAATTCCCAACACTCACGCTGGCTGGCTGGCTGTTCATGCTGGCTGCTCACAATGATTCCAGTTCCTTCAAGGTCAGAAGCACACACCCGATGCATATACATATATATAGGGAAAACACACATAAAATAAAATGAGTAAATCTAATATTTTTTTTTTGCAAAAGAGGTGATTAAAAGGCTTGACTGGCAGAGGAATAGACAGATGACTAGAAATTTGAAGAAAAAAACAAACACAGCAAATTAATTAGAGACTCTGGGTGTTCAATGCACAACCCACTTGTTTTCTACAGCATTTGCAATTGTTAATAAAACACCAGAAGGAAAATATGTGATGAATGAACACCAGACACTGAGCACATGAATTACCAAACAAAGACAACTAAGCATAAAGCATCAGACCAGTGGTTGTCTAGGACGGAGGTGACTGAGGATAAAGGACTACAAAGAAATATTCCAGGATGATGAACCATTTTACTCCTGCCTAGCAGTTCATTACATGGATGTATACATTTGTCAAAAATCACTGACCTGTAAGGTATGTGATTTTTAAAGTGCACTGTAAAAAGCTAGTACACAAAAATCAAGTTCCTCCCAACCAAAAAAAGGCTAAAAGAGCCAACCACCAAGAAGCAGCATAATCAAATATGATGACACTCCCAAAGTGTCATCAACCTTTCTCTCTTGCTGGATAAAGACCATGCCCATGAGAAACAAAAACACGAGTCCTTGGAAAGCAATATAAAAACAAGGAATTCCCCAAAAGGAAGGTTTCTGACTTGATGACTCAAGCCCTACTGACTTAAGACCTGCAGTTCCACCACCATGTCTCATCTTAGCAAGTTCTTAACTCTATCTAAAGTTCTTCAGCTGAAAATAAAAATATTTATTATCTCAAAAGACAGCTGTAAATGTTTTAAAACCATATATGTGCATTGAAGCTAAAATGTTGCTATTTTTAAAGTTAAAATTCAAATCACTTTAGAAATCATCTAAGCAAAAGTCCACAACTTTCTTTCCTCCAGTTTTTCCTCTTTTAGGGGTAAGAGAAGAAACAGTTCAGTTCTCTAAGTATACCTACCTCAAGCTAGTCAACCTCACTCAAGTGGTGAATCTCAAAACCTTCCTTAAGAAAAGGCAAAAACCAACAGAGTACAGGATCATGCCTTTAGTTCCAGCAGATTTCGGAGCTTGAGGCTAGCCTGGTCTACAGACTGAGTTCCAGAAATGCTGGAACTACATCAGAGAAAGCCTATCCCAAAGAAACAAACATATATACATATATACATACATAAAAAGATTTACTATTTAAAAAAAAGCCAGACATGGCAATACACTCCTTTAATCCCAGCACTTGTGAGGAAGAGACAAGCGGATCTCTGTTTACAGGCCAGCATGGTCTACATACATAGCAAGTTCCAGAACAGCCAGGGCTACAGAAAATCCCTGAGGGGGGAGAGCGGGAAGGGGAGGGTTGAGCCGGTAAAAGAGATTGGAATTAAAAAGCCAGAAAATTAATTAAAGAGCATGGTGATGGTCTTGGGTATATAGGATCAACACAGGGAATGGTGGTTTACTCCACTTTAAGCCCAGAACTTGGGGACTGAGGAAGGCAGGTCATCTATGAGTTCAAGGATAGTCTCATCTATGTAGTTCCAGGCAAGTTAGGGCCATATAGGAGACCCTGTCTCAAAAGACAATTCCCTTTCCTTCAATGAATGTAGTGTCTAGTTTGGGGAGAAAAACTGTTCCTTAAGCTGTTTAGATAAAATGTGTATTTTACATATATGGTTTAAACCCATCAAAGTATGTAATCTAGAAATTAGAGAATATGTTCTAAAGAAATAAAACTAAGAATTGGGACTCTGACAGGAGAGTACTGAAAACTAGGTCAGAGAGAATACTACTGGACAGACATTACACACAAAAATGAGAATTTAACTATCTGAATAAAACAGTAAATTAAACCACATACACTGAGCTTGCCATTCTGCTCAGTCATGATGGCCACAATGGCTGTTACATTTCCATCTATGAAGTTACATTTCCTTTTAAAATTTTCTTATTTATTACTGTATATGTGTATATGATACCTGTGACTGTGCATATGAGCATATCACAGTGCACATGTAAAGTGCACAGTGCACAGTGCACAATGCTCTGGGGCTGGTCTTCTTTCTCATGTGTCTCTGAAGCAATGAACATCTTGCTGTGCTGTCAGATCCTAATGTTTCAAGCCATTTATCTTCCTGTATACAATGGACTATACTTATCTGGTGTGTTATAATTAAAATGTGATTTGTTCCAACTATGAAAGAAAAGGCAGAGCTGGTGGGGCCTGATGGGTGGTATGCTGGGGCTGGGGGGACATCTCAGGGTAAGGGTACTTGCTGAAAGCCAATGACCTGAGTTCTGTCCCTGGATTACATAGTGGAAGACTCTATTCTTCAAAGTCATCCTTTTTCCTTTACATGTGCACTGTGATATGCTCATATGCACAGTCACAGGTATCATATACACATATACAGTAATAAATAAAAAAATTTTAAAAGGAAATGTAACTTCATAGAAATCATAAAGGGGAGAGGCAGGGAGGGGAGCAGGAAAAAAATGTAGAGCTCAATAAAAATGAACAAAAAAGAAAACATCACCAAATACATAATGTGTTATGTTCTCTAATTAAATATTTTACACATGAATCTTTTATTAATAAACATTATTCTATATTAATGAATTAGGTATTAGGTTTAGTTTTTGTAAACTCAATCTACTCTTTAAATGTAAAGAGTGCATTTTTTTTTACATATTATAAACATTATTTTACCACTAAAATTTTCAAAGAAAGCCTGGGATCACATCAGTAATCTAACTTAACCATATTTATCAAAAGTTCATTTTGAGCCGGGCATTGATGGCACACACCTTTAATCTCAGTACTCAAAACAAACAAAAGGTTTATTCTGTTTAAACAAAGTAAATGATTCACATATCTTCACTTCAAATATTCATTAATTCTTTAAAATTTCACAACAAAAAGCAAGAGATGGCAATAAATGTCATCCAAATGATAGAAATTCTCAAAATAGAGATAGAAATCAAAGAACCTTGCTACCTCTGTCCCCAGAGTTTCCTACTTTTTTCCCCCACCCTCTCCACCACCTCCCGACTAGTGGGGTTCCAGAAGGAACTGACTGCTATAGCATCTAGGCACCTGGAATGCTTCCTCCCTCCCTTTAAGTCTGTGCTCAGCTGCTTCCTTGTCCAAGAGACTTGCCTTATCCACTTCAAATTCTAAAGAGTTATCACAATTTTAACCTCTTATGAAAAGCAAACAAACAAAAACACAAAGTTAACTTCAACCACTATTTCCTCTCATTTCTATAATCATCTATAAACTTTACTTATTTTCTACTCTAAAGGTTAGGTAGAACACAGAGTTGGCATTCAATCGGTGTTTGCTGAGTTCTATTAAACTCAGCAGTTTAACAGAAACAGTTCAGTGGTGCTACACTTGCCTAACATGTTGGAGAGAGGACCAGGAGCTCCAAGCCCCGTCCCCACCTGCCCACTAGCTACACTAAGGGGAAAAAAAATGAAGAAGCACAGACTCATTTATCACAAGAAACCAAAAGACAGAGCCCACAGGATGGCTCAGCAGGTAAATGTGCTTGTTGCTCACCCTGATGACCAAAGTTCAATCCTCAGAATCTACATGATAGAAGAAGAATTGCTGCTGTTGTTTTCCCCTCTACATGTCTGCCATGTTGCATGTGTATGCACTGCACACAAACAAATAAATAAATGTAAAAAAAAAGATTTTTAAAGATGCTCACTCTGGAGCAGCACTTTTTAGCTATTTTGGCTTTTGAAGGTCTTCTACAGATCCCAATTTTGAGATATAGCTTTTATCTACTAATGATACATTCAAAAGTAAAACTGAGTACATTTGTAAAAGTTAATAGCATTACACCCTAAAAAACTAACACATAAAAGTTTCCAAAATAATGAGAAATAATGCTATACATTTTGATGACTCTCTTATGTCTGGTTTCACAGCAGTAAGCCAGTTCCTATATCTGCTTTAGTTTTGAACTTATGATAGGCTGTGCTGGTTAAATTTTAAGAAAATCCAGGCTCCAAAGCTACAGAAAAACCCTGCCTTGAAACAAACAAACAAAAAAACAAATAAATAAATGAAATACTGAATAATGCACACCTTGCAAAAACAAATAGATTATGTTATATATAACAGGTAGGCACAGCAACATCCACCTGCAATCCAGTTAGTTCAAAAATAAATATTGCTTGAAAAAAATGGATAAATTTTTAAAAATAAGGCCATGGTGCCACAACCTTTAATACCAGCACTAGGGAGGCACAGAAAATACTCTATAAGTTCAAGGCCAGCCTGACACGGCGGCAGGCCACCCAAGTCTACATAGTAAGACCCTGTTTCAAAACAAAACAAATTTAAGATAAATAATAAAGCAAACACCCATGTACAGGTGGTAGAATGTCTGTGAACTATACTAAGAGATTACAGAACTGCCTATAATGTGGACACTCTGTAGTAATACCAGTGCTGGGGAGGGGAGAGAGATGGATCCCTGAAACTCTTCTAGCCTACTGAATGATAGGCCAATAACAGACCCTGTCTCCTACCTCTATCTCCTCCCCAATCCCAGAAAAACCAAGGTGGACAGCATACGTTATGGCTATTCTTGGTTGCCACCTTGACTACATCTGTAACTAAAACCCAAGTGTGTGGGTACATTTGTGAGAGATTTTATTTAAATTAAGATGTTTTCAGTGAAGACCTACCTTTAATCCAGATCTTTTGAGGTGGGAAGATCCATTTTAATTTAGGCCACACCTGGTGGCAGCCTATATAAGGTCATGGAAAAACGGAACGTTTGTTCTTTGTCTGCTTGACCTCATTCTTGCTGGCAAATTTATTCCTTCACTGGCATAAGAGCCTACTTCTGCTGGATTCTGGAGTATACGAAGACATTCAGTATACTTATGCCTTCATACACCAGTATGAGCTGAGACCTTCAGCCTCATGGGCTGAACAACTGTCTGGTTCTTGGACTTTCCATTGGGAGACATTCACAGCTGCACTAGCAGGGTCACACCTGTAAATCACTCTAATACATCCCCTTTCTGTACTAAACAGATCCATTCAACAAGTTCTGTTTCTCTTGAGAACCCTGAGTAAAATGACATCCGAGGGCCAACACTCAAGGTTGTCCTCAGGCCTCCATAGACACATGAACATGTACACACATGTACAGATACAGATGAGAATTCTACTACAACCACCCATATCATTTCTTTTTTCTCAGTGCTGAAGATTATTGAACTCAGGGCCTTGAAAAATTAAGGCAAGCACTCAATGGGCTCGACCCCAGAGCTAAATCTCCATCCCCACTTTTTTTTTTTTTTTTTTTTTTGGTTTTTCGAGACAGGGTTTCTCTGTAGCTTTGGAGCCTGTCCTGTAACTAGCTCTTGTAGACCAGGCTGGCCTCGAACTCACAGAGATCCACCTGCCTCTGAGTCTGAGTGCTGGTATTAAGGGCATGTGCCACCACCGCCCAGCTCTCCATTTCTTCTCTCATTCATTCTCCAGTCTCCACCTATAAAATCTATGGACATGTTCCTACAGTAGTAAACAAAGTTATCTTTATCCCATCTGAGATCACCTCTAAAAAGAGCTTGCACCACCTTTCAATCCATACAAGAACCCCAATTCCATTCATTCGCTACTACATGATCTTATTCCTTTAAGGCACTCACCACAACCTATCCTATTTATGAGGTTGCCACTCAACAGAATGTCGTTTCATGAAGACAGCACCTTCATCCTTGCTGATCAGTCAGTGCAGTACCTACAGCATGAGACATTCAATACATACTTCTTGAGAAAATCATGCACAGACTCTGTGTAAAATATTAGTTCTGCTATGTGTTTTTATCATTTTTAACTTGCTTTTCATCTGATGGCAATTTCTGAGTACCTGTAGAAATTTGGGCACCAACCTGGGAGATACAAGAGAGAGAAGAGAGTACAAGGCAGTCAAATATAATTCTGAACTTTGCTGAACAATAATCATACATTTCTGAAAGAAAATATGTTATTTGGGACTTTTGTTGGTTAGGGGTTTTTTGTCATTGTTTTTAATTAAAAGCACCATCACCAGTCAGGCAGTGGTGACACATGCCTCTAATCCCAGCAATCAGAAGGCTGAGGCAGTGGGGTCTCTGTGAGTTTGAGGTCAGCCTGGTCTACAGAGTAAGTCCAGGACTGAGAAACCCAGTCTCAAAAGAAAAAAAAAGAAATTCAAGATACTCTTTGGCTTTCCAGCGAGTTCAAGGTCAGCCTGAGATACCCGAAAGCCTGGTTTCAAAAAAGGGAGGGAGGAGGAGGAGGGAGGGAAGAAGGGAAGGAGCAGTCATGTATTTAGAACTTACTGAAAACTACAAAAATTGGTAAAGCTGGATAGCAGTACATACTTCAATCTCCGTCACTTTGGAGACTAAAGCAGGAGTGTGTCATGACTTAGAGGCCAGCCTGAGATATAAGAGAACCAGGTTAAAGCAATCTTATAATTCCCCAATCTCAGGAAAACAGAAAACAAACAAAAAACTTTTAGTTATTTCACCAATAGAAAGCACTACCTACTATCTAGAACAAATATGACTTCATCATAGGTTAATGCATATGTATGGTTTTCATTTGCATACATGCATCATGACTGCATTTATACTCCCCATAGAGCATTTCTTTCTGGAGATCTGGGAATCCAACAGTGAATACAAAAAGAACTAAAAATAGAAGCTATTATATATGGCACACACACACCCCAAAACAGAGGCCAGAAATAAACATTTATCAGTCTTACACTCATTTTACTAATTGTGAAAGCTATAAACTCAGGAAAAGTTAACAATACACTCAAAGATACAATGTACAACAACCACACTACACCTAAAACCCATATTACTGTCTCTAGACCTGCTTTTGTTTGTTTGCTTGGTTGGTTGGTTGGTTTGGTTTTGTTTTCAAGACAGGGTGTCTCTCTGTGTAGCTTTGGACCTGTCCTGGAACTCGCTCTGTATACCAGGATGGCCTCAAACTCAGAGATCCACCTGTCTCTGCCTCCTGAGTGCTGGGATTAAAGGCATATGCCACCAACACTGGCTAGACTGGCTAGAACGGTCTTGGTTTTTCTTCTTTAAATATAATGTCACCCCTAGAATGTGAATGCCATATTCTAACAAATCTTAATTATTTTTTTTGTACTGTCAGTCATATTTCTCCCTATTAAAGTTCCAGTCCACCAGGTTAGGGTCAAAGCAGGGGCACATACAACTAAGCCATAACTAAAATATGATACCAAAGCCCTTCCTTACCATGACATATATAAAATACTTAAAGCGCTGTTTTGATGGAATGAGTTTTCTATTCCATATTTTCAACTTGAAAGAAAAAAACATACACAGGTGCACCTGCTGAATAATTTACTGTTTCTTTGCTTCGTGCAAGTAACTGCTGTTCTCCTGGAACATGAGTAGAAACATGTCAGTTTCTCAAAAAAGAAAAAAAAAGTTACAGAGCAAAACCTGCTGAACATAACCTCAGCTACCATACACTCTTCATTAAAAGCTTTTGTGAAACACAAAATCTAGACCCAAATACAGTGTTAGAAACCTGCAGTCTAAGCTCCTCAGGAAGCCAAAGCAGGTCTAGGAGCTGAAGAACAATTAGTTCTCTGGGAAACATCTGAGACACAAGTGACCAACAGACAGTGACCAAAGGGAATGATGACAAAAGAAATCACACACATATGACGCCCAGCCCTGGCTAGTCTTGTTAATATTTCCCAATGTCATTCAGGCCAATTCACAAATATCCTAACTTTTTTCAAATACTACTGAGACTCTTAGGTGACAAGCAATCAGAATAATTTGTCCATGGTTAAACCCTAAGGGAGTAGCAAAAGTAATACATATTTTCGGGGTCGGTATTTAAGACAGGGTAGGGTCTCTTTACGTAGGTGGGGCCATCCTAGATCCCACTAGGTAGACCAGGCTAGCCTTTGAACTCACAGAGATAGCCCTGCTTCTGCCTCCCAAATGTTGGGATTAAAGGCTTGAGCCATCCTAACACTCCCGCTACAAAGGTAATAATTAAAGCTAACTTGTTTCTTTCTCTCTTCAGAGTGAAAGAGTTTCTTTATAACCTATGTCACAATGTAACAAAATACTCAGTTACCAGTTTGTACAGAAACGTTTTTACTAAAAGAAAAAGCAAAAACAAAAATCACATAGTAAAAAACTACCAAAATATAGATCCGGAGCTGGAGAAATGGTTTGGGTTCAAGAGTGTTTACTATTCTTGTAGAGGACCCAACAAGGGGGTTCCAGCACCTACATAATGCAAAACCTCCCTTAACTGTAGCTCTTAGATCCTCTTCTGACCTCCAAAGGCACCTGCACGCACACACACGGACCCACACACTGACATACACTCACACGAATGGCTTTTTTTTTATGTAGCTCCCGATTCTAATAAAGCTAAGTAAAATAAGAATTACGGAAAGAAGGCCTTCATAAGCTCAGGATCACAAGATAGTTTTTGCAAACACAAACGGGCAAGGAGATGTAACCTCGGTTCATTTTTTTTCCCATTCTGTTCGTTTTGGTGAAAGAGGTACCGAAAATTAAAGACAAAACGCCAAATGGAAGGAAGTTTGGTTCAAGAGCCATCAGAACTCTTACAATGAAGTCTCTGTCAGCTGGCTCGACGCTACTCGGGAGTTCTAAACTCACTCTGTACGTAAATCAAACAACAGGAAAGCTCTCAACAGTACAATGGAGTCACCCCAAACTACAGACATGAGCAAATTAGATGAAGGCGCTATAACTTCCTGGTTGTTGGGGTTCTTTTTTTGTTTTGTTTTGTATTTCGAACGCGAAAGGTCACACTTGCTTTAAGACGTTATCTACAAAGCCCTATAATCTAGGAAGTGTGGTGACAAACCTCTATTTCTCAGTACAAAAACCGATGCTTCCACCGCACCACTGCTGACTGCGATCAATTATCTAGGCAGGATAAAGAAAACATCTTTTTTTAATGACTAACCAGCCAACTCCACACAATATCAGACGCGTCTGTCTCCTGCTCCACGGACTGCGCGTGCTCGCCCGCCCCGGGCGGCTCCCGGCTTCGGACCGGGTTACCTTCTTCACTCCATTGTCACCCCCACGCCTCGGCCTTCAGCCCCCGTCCTGCCGGCGAGCAGCGGCGACAGGGCGCGATCCCCGCACCCACTCCCGCACAGGAGGCTGTGGGCGTGTCCGCGGGTGGACTCTCACCCCGACACAATGAGCCGCTCCGTGCCGCCCGGGACCCGCGGTCATCCCCCTGCCGCCGACCCCGGCCGCCGGCCGCGGCCCTTCCTCTTTCTCCCCCCCC